GCTTATTCCCAGGAACATGTTATATGATTTTTTTAAATTATTTTAGAATTATCATGGTAAAAATCGAGTTAATTTTTGAAGTTATTCAATTTCCTGCACTACACTATTTTTTAATTATTTTTTTATTTGCCGCTTCCTTAACAATCATTTTTCGTTAGTTCTTGTAAGTAAAATGTACATCACTAGCTAACGCACACAATGACAAATCAAAATTAGTCACGCGTTTTCGGACTGTTAGGTCGTCTATACACCAGTATATTCTAAGTCTATGGTGCAGCCCTTGGGAGATTTTGACGGCAACTTGAGCCAGCAGACAGCTGACGGTTGGCGATTGCATCTCAAGGCGCCTAAGCAGACAGACACCTTATTTTGAGAATCACATCACAATTAGAGCACTTGTTTCACAGTTTCCACCAATAGTTCACACGCGTAGACACTTAATACACAAAATCGCACCAGTTTTACATATCAAAGTCCACTTTAAACCATTATTTAAACAATAATACAGGAGCAGCAAACCGCCGCCGGTCTAGTTCCCGCCAAAACCCCCCACTTCTTATTAGTTTGTGCATAATATTACAGACTATGATCACAGAACACAATTACTCTATACTCTCTACCAAGAGAAGAACGCCATCTCCAAACTAAAAAACTGAAATACGCGTCTATACTTTAAGACTTCTAGCGCCTCAATGGGTGCCCGTATGAAACTTTTTTTGCGGGAATTTCAAACCTTTGTATTTTGTAACTTGTAAAGGTTTAAAGGCATATTCGAGTAATTTTGGCACAAGCCTCGCAAACCTATGAGCTCAATTTCCATACATTTGAGAGGTTGCACCAAAATTACTCGAATATACTTTAGATTAGTATGTGGGATAAAATAAAACTATAAATAAGTACAGTTATGTAATTTTATTTTCAGGAAGACAGATTGTTTCATAAACTATATATTTTTATTGATGTTTTTTATTGCTTTTGCTCATATTATTTCCACGCTTGTTACTGATGTATAACAAATGTTATTGTAGTGAAAACTTAACTCGGCTCAAAAACGTGATCTGAAACAGATACAATTTGATTCAATATAGTAATAATTCCTACATAAAATAGTTAATAAATTCAAAACATTAATAGACTTACCACATTATTGTCATAAGTTTTTCTTTTCCTATTATAGGAGATCTGCAGAAAGTGATCAGTTGATTTTTTGTTTTTTACTTGCACAACACTTAACTTACTTTCGATTATGATCACACATCCTGCATAAAATTTTGAAATAATGAATTCATTTATAGTCAATACCTTATAGAGAGCTAACATGTCACAAAAAAACCTTTACTGTATATTCACGACGGTATTATGGCTGTGTATTCGCCTACAAACGAAAATGAAGTATTATGAGCCCACAATCATTGAATTTAAGCAAAAATCAATAATAAATATTAAAATCTAAACCTAAGAAATAAATTTGAATAAATTTCAGAAAATATTCTCAATATGAAAGACGTTGATAGACAAATGTCTTTTTTCTTCTTTTAATTCGTGGCTTCTTTTGATAGAATTGTGCTAATATTTTTTTTTTAAATCAGTTAATAGGTAAATTAATTGTGTGAATCTCAGAGTAATATGTATGTAATTATACTTTAAAGAGCAAACCAAAAAAAAATTTAACACAGAATAACATTTATATACGATTTATAGATGATATAAGAATTTTTGTATCTAATTTTTAAAATAGTAATCTTAAACAACATGAAGGAAAGAAACAGCGATATTTTTTCTCGCTTTATTTTTACAAGCCCAACACAATCATTGACAAAATCATGATTGTGTGCAGATTTCTCAGCTTTCATACAAAGTTGCATCAACCTGCATAATATACTCTTAAAGCCCGCTTTTCACTATGGGATATAATATAATATATATTACATACATATGCATAAACACTCACGCCTGTCACCCAGAGGGGTAGGCAGAGACTACGGACTTCCATTAGGCGCGATCCTGACACACCTATACTACATCTCGCCCATATTACATCTCGAGATACCATATATTACATCTCGAGATATAAATTAATATCGCTCACCATAGTTTTAAATGGAACTGTTTACACTGAGCTATAATATATCGATTCGTCATCTCGCATAAATAAAGATCTGCGATTTCACCAACTTCCGCACACCGAAGAAAGGTAAATAAATATTGTTATTATTATTTTACATTGTGTATATTTTGTCATGTCATGCAGAATTGCCAACGTAAAAAAATGGCGGACGTAAAAAATAGGTACTATATAGGTAGTCGCTGGGCATGACTGTTTAGAAGTTTGATTTTTTTCTTCATCTAAATCGTGTGGTTGGATATGCTAAGGTCTTAGACCATACTATAGTGCCTCGTCTTTGGTTTTTCGAAGTTTTTTTTTTATAAAATATTAAGGCATAGGGGTAAATTTTTAGGTTTGTCGGGGTGCGAATTACGAAAATAACATTTATTTTTAAATTCAAGACGGCGGTCCTTTTTTAATATAAAATTTAAATTATATATTATGTAATATTAAATCTCTCCGATAAACGCCATATTTTAATACCAAAAATAGCTGGGAAAGACCATGTATTAGCAGCTCCTTCATCACAAAATTCAGAACACACCAACACTAAACAATATATAGGTATAGATTATAGCTCCCAGACACCAGCACGATTGACTGACTTTACTTCCCGAAAAAGGAAACTTATAAAACAATTATTTAAAATAAGTAAAAAATTTAAAATGCACTGCTAAAACATATGATGTTACCGGAACAGTTTTTATCCCCCAAGTTAATCGCGCTTGTAAAAGCACAAATGGATTTAAAACTTACTGTAAAAACAATAGATATAGCAGAGAATTCAAATTGTTTTGCTTAAAATATAATGTATTTGTATACGTGGTAGAGCCATGCTGAAGCTATATTTTTAGTATAGTTGTAGCAACAATGGGTCGGCTCGACCGGGGAAGGACCACGCTCTCACAGAATACCAGCGTAAAATGGCAGCTTGACACTGCTGTGTTTCGTATGGTGAGTGTAGAGAACCGGAGTCCCATTATACTGGAAACGAGGCATTCCTTCTAATCCTCACGGGTGACGACGCATATGCATTTTGATTCTTTATTGAGGATAAATGTAGATGTCTATGGGTCACAGCAACCACTTACCGTCAGGTGGACTGTGTGCTCGTTTGTCACCCTATTCTATTAAAAAAAAACACAAGCCCGCTCGCTTATTGATTTTTATCGACGACTATTTGTTTACCGTCTAAATCAACTTTAGCTAAGATGTACCTACCTATGCAAACTAAGCTTAACCAGCAAATGTGGGATATTTTATCAGCTACAATCAAGCATAAGTTATTATTCGAAAATGAATGTGTGCTTTGTATGGATGAGATGAGTCTGAAACTAAACTTATCCTATAACACCAAGGAAGATAAAATATTGGGCCTCCATGAATTAGATGTGCAACAGCAACCTGTTGCCGCAGGGTATGCTTTTACCTTAATGCTTCAAGGTATAACATCAAAATGGAAACAACCTATTGGCTTTTCTTTTATCTCCAGCAGCAAAATTGATGATCAATTAAAAACATAAAACTTACTAAATATTTGATGTTCCCCACTTAATTAAGTGCGTGAGAAATAATTTAATGAACTATAATTTTGACTTTGATGGCAAAACTACTCGGTGGGAGGACATAACAAACATGTAGTAAAATAAAAGATATGAGAACAGCACCTCATTTAACTGATTCACATTTACAGCCGAATAGTTTTCAAAAACAAAAGTTCGTTTTGCAATTCAAATTTTTAGCAATTCTGTAGTAGCACCTTTAAAAAAAATTAGCAATCATCAGGTACTCTACAAATAGCTGATGTTACGATAGTTTTTATTGAAACCATGAACAATCTCTTTGATTTATTAAATTCAAGCAACATCGACTCGCCAAAAGAATACAGTAAACCGTATACGGGTACGACTCTTCAAGAGAAATTGCTATATAAATCTCAGCATTTGTTTGATAGCATGAGAGTTAAAAGTAAAAAGAAGAGCCGTGAAGTTACTAATATCATAAAATTTATAAATGCTTTCAACATAACTATTAACTCACTTCGGTAATTATATACCGATATGAAGTCTGAAGAATATGATTACTTACACGAAGAATTTACAATGACTGCTTAGGAAAGTTTTTTGGGCTTGTGAGGCAGGCTGATGGAAATTATCGGGAACCCTCTTGCATACAATATACATGGGCATTCCGAAAAATGTTTTTATGCCAAATTTTAAATTTGTAAGACGCTACAAATTGTACCGAAGATTTTGACCGCATACATTTTGAATCAATAATAAAATAAACTAATAATTCAATGTCTGTAGTTATTGTAACGTTGTTAATAATATGGATTTCATGTCTACCTAAGAGTATAAGAACGATTTTATGTAACGAAATTGAGGTATGGTCATATTATGAGGCGTGCAATTAGCGTTTTTAGTACTTTTAAGAAAAATGTAAGAACAAATTGTAACTTATTCTTTATAATAGGAATTATACTGTTGATGACGTTGTAGACATAAAATATGTGCATTAAATTATTTTTTTAACTTTTTACCGCTTCCTTAACAATCGTTTTTCGATAGTCCTTGTAAGTAAAATGTACATGTGCTAACACACACAATGACAAATCAAAATTAGTAACTCGTTTTCAGGCTGTTAGGTCGTCTATACGCCAGTATATTTTAAGTTTATGCTTTATACTGAGATAAATGAAGACGTGACTTAATGAACAAACATCCATGCCACACAGCTTATTAAAAAACTTACAGATTTTTATTTAATAGCAATACTAAACAACCATGGCCGATGACAATCAGCTGGTTGAGTGGGGAGAAAAAGGCAAGCGCTTTATTGTAAGGTTTAATATGTAGTTCATGTCCGCAAGCGTTTCGTAGCAGTTGTAGCTATGGCGTGTTTAAGTCCGAGTAGGCTCTGTGCTCGTGTTCAAGATAAGTTATTGTGTCAATTCGGACATAAAGTTCGAAGGCAAACTGTATTTGTGAAACTCAAACCTCCTGGACCAACTCCATTGAGGATATTTGGAAAGACATGTCAGGTTAGATTTCCTATCTTTCATTAATTAAAACAAATTAATATTATTAATAATATTGATTATTTCATACATAAAATAATGATTTTCATCGATTATTGTTTCTCAAGTGGCATTCAAAATCTTATTAGTATACTTATGTATGTTTATATTGTTATGTTTTACATAACAACATGACAGTTAACCTAAAAGTCAGCTGATCTATATTTTTGGCATGATGTTAATAAAAAAATTGACGAAATACATATGTACTCAAAACAGCCGGTCATTTATTGAAATGTTAAAAGTGAAATCGCAAGTCTGCGGACCGTCGATCGCTTCGCGGTACAAGTTTTGTTGAGTTTGACAACAGATTTTCACTATATGCGTTTTCTCAACTTTTACTTTCTGCAAACAAAACTGTACTTTATCGGAAGGGGTTCTAAAGCAGGCTTTATTAATGAAAAAATAATAATTATAAATGTTTTTGTTACATACAAGTTTATGTTTTTTATATCTTCTAGTTTTTTAATGTCAATGGGAGGCTTTTGTTATTTAAATAAACGTTATTATGGAAACGTTTAGGTGTTGATTGAAAAAGGAAAGTGTAAAATAAACTCAATTTGTATTATACATATTTATATATTTTTTGGGGCTGCATTTCGGAATTTGATTCCGTCAAGTGCCGGCGTCTTGCTTTCTCGCGCAGCGTGCGCGCGTGCAATGTACAATCTCTACGAGCCACACAAAACTTTCTAAGCAACAATTATTTTTCGCATTAATATTTCATTTGCACCTTCAATAGCTATTGAATTACTATTCGATTTCATTGCTTGCAGTCATGTCCTTATTTGCCGGGTTAAATTGCTTAAATTTAAGGAAAATATTTCAGTTTTCAGTTTTCTGCTAAGTAATAGAGTGCGCAATCGTAATTCAAAATTACTACTCATTTTAAAATAAGTACCTTCATAATATTATATTACAATCTGTATTTAAAATTGGGTTAAAATGGTCTATGCAATTATATAAACATTGCAAGAAATTAAACTTCCATAATGCTTAAAAATATTTGACGTATAAACCACATCGTTGATAAGGAATGTAGATGAAAATTAACGGTACTTAGAATTTAATGACTTTATAATCGATTATTAAATACCTGTTAGTTTCATACAAAACTCTATAGATATAATTATTATCACCTACGAGTACACCAGACGTGGCATGAATGAATGCTATTTGTTTACGTGGTGATAATATCCAAAGACGCATCATACGCTAGCCGACTGTTAGTGAAAGTTGTGTGAGATTCGTTGAATTTTTAATAGCACCTAAACTGGGTAAGTAACCTGTCGTGCCAAGGAGTACTGAAGAGCCTTTCTTATTTTATACTCGTCTATTTGGCGCACATTGACCTCGTTTATGTCTCCGACGTCAAAACTAGACTCCGCGCCGCGCCGTAGGAATCGTCGTCCTTGACTAAGTAAGAATTATCTTAAAGTCTATTTTATGTACCTGAATCTATGTGATATTCCAGTTTGATTTCAATAAATCGAATTTTCAAAATGCGAGCTTAGGTTTATTTTGTTTTACTTTTCTACTGATATTTCAAATCATATTTGTCAAACAACATACTTTAATAAAATATGCTGGTAGGTTAAAATGAATGAACACTGAGTACCGTCATCAGAGCATTTTCATTAGTGTTAGTTATTTAGGTAATGAATCGGTCGAATAAGCAGCGCACGCAACGTCCTGCGTAAATGATTCTTGCTAGAAATGCGGAACACATAACTATTTGTTCAGTCGACATCATTGTATAAGAGTTTGCGGCAACACACACAACGTAGCATATCTTATTTTCGACTTACAACATTTTCTTCAATTCTGAATTACGTGATGACAATACAAAAGGGCGTAGAGAGTTAGAGAACGCTTCGTTTACGCCAATGCAACATAATTTTGTAATGTCTTTAGGACCTTCTGTTTCGAATAATTATCGTAGATCAAATGCCATAGGAACACTGTTTCATAAATTCCCAATCATATTAATGAATTTCCAAATAAATTTTCGCAATAAGTCATCGCATTATTATTCACTTAACTAATCTTATGATTTTAACGTAAATTGCGTAAAACAGACCAGAGTTCGAGCCGGTATGGGCGCGAGTTATTGTGACATTTTAAAATTTTTAGTTTATGGTTTATCTATAAATATTATACTAAAGTAAACTAAAGTAGTAGTACTTTAGTTTATTTGTTTCTTTTTCGTTTTTTTTTCTGTCAGAACAACCGTTATATCTATGTAAAATTGCATTTATTCTTGTGCTATAAATTTAATTGTTCGCCGATCGTTCAATTTAACGCTAAAATTTATATTATCATTATCAATGAAAATAGCCATGTAAGTAGCTTCGTCGAGAGAATCCACTACTCCATATCGTCTCCTGGATGTCATAGAAGCTGACAAGGAAAAACTAAAACAAGAGATGGACAACACTATTTTTAAGAATGTAAACATAAATAAAGGAACTGCGGTTGCCAACCCGACTGCCAGGCCTGGCAACTTTGGCAAATATACCCTCTATCAGGCAATGTATGGGTTATGTGCAAGTTGACTGTTGACAGGCTGTAATAAATGAATGAATCAATCAAAAAATCGACATGTAACAATTGTTTGTTTGCGGTGAGGTTTCTTCAGTTTATCGTGATGCCAATGTCCACGATCGTAAATTGCACAGGTTGGTCCGCAGTGCCATCAACTAAACGTGTCAAATATATTCTTATATTTAAGTGGCTGTGGAGACGGTCACCGCTTACTAGATGTCCTTGCAAACGCTGAATGTTTGGCCTGGTACAATTGAGCAAGAGTGTTTCGGTCGGCACTTGCAAACAATGAACTCATCAACGGTGGCTATGGAAGTACGAGTAATATTAATTGCAGACGTCAGTGCGTGATGTCTCTATTTGATAAGGGCGTGAGCGTATCCGTTTAGTAATTTGCCTTTAAAACAGTTTAATGATGATCGTTGTTACCTATCATATTACTAAGTACTTATCCCTAACAGGCTTAAAACTATATTTCATTTTTTGCGATTTTATTCGATTAAGAAATAATTAGGTAGAACGTAATATGTCAAGACCATATTATAAATATTTATAGAAAGAACTTGTTCTCGTGCCACTGGCAAATATCAAATGATTGTTTATTCACGTTCCCTCAATACCTACTCTTGCCCTTGAATTAATTAAAGGAATCGAAATTATGTAATTTAAAATAGTATTATAAGTTTTTTTTTTATAGGATAGGGTGACAAACGAGCACACAGCCCACCTGATAGTAAGTGGTTGCTGCGGACCATAGACATCTACATCTATTTTCGTTTGCGAATCGAAATGCAGATGCGTTGTCACCCGTGAGGACTAAGATGCAATGCCTCTTTACCAGTAAAAAGGGTCTCCGGTTCTCTACACTCACCATACGAAACACAGCAGTGTTAAGCTGCTATTTTACGCTGGTATTCTGTGAGAGCGTGGTCCTACACCGGTCGAGCCGACCCATTCGTGCTGCAACTATACTACCTACTAATATAGCTGCAACATGGCTCTACAACGTATACAAGTCACCTATTTATTTTTTAAATCCTAACCACCCCACTAGAAATTTCTCCTGTGTCGTGGAGGCGTTTTACAAACATAAATTGCACATAGGCAAACACTTAGACCAGGAACAATTATTTATAGGTGAAACAAATACTAGTTTCGTACGAAAATCTAACTCGCTGCCCGCAGTTCCTAGGCCAAATGGTAAACCACTGCACTGGCGTGCCTTTTTTAACAGGTCATTTTGAATATATAAGAATCAAATATGAAGATTAGATTAGTGATATACAGCTAAATTTTGTTTCAATTTAAGGTATGTGCCTATTTTTTATCCAAGTGTTGGATAAATAAGGTAATATAAAACAGAAATTTCATCCAAAAAGGCCGGGTTCAAATTTTATAGACCGTTTATAAGCTCATCACGTGTAGTGAGTATGGGCAAATCTTAATAAAAATACATGTTAATGAGCGACTCTGGGAATTAAGCTAGAATGCCATGTTATCAGTGAAAAAGAGTACAAAACACAGCAGAACTGTGGCTGCTATTTTACGTTAGTATTTTGTGAGAGTTCGGTCCTTTACCGGTTGAGCCGACCTATTGGTGCTGCAATCATAATACAGATGCCGGTTGGAATTGATTGATGATTGCTATTTAAAACGTCATGTCTGTTTTAGATACACCTATTATTTATCATTCCTATATTTATCATTCCTAAGCAAAGCATATCGATGAAAATAAAATAACAAAAACTAGTAAGAATTTAGTGGTCCAATAGTTTTAAATACATAAGGCTATAGATGCGCTTTCATCTTAAGCACCCTTTTAACTGAAACAACAGTGGGAGAACTGCTGCTTAGCGTTAAATTATTAAAATTAACAAAACTAAAATTTACATTATTTTAAAAAGAAGTATTTTTGGTGGTTTTCATTTTAAGGTATCAAAATGTGTTACTTGCACTTCTGTATTTATTTAATTGTATGCCGTATAGAATATAAGAACATATATTCTTGAGTTTTTAAAAATGGCGAAATGTTTAATTTTTCTCCGTGTTTTTGTCATCCAAATTTCCCTGTTCTTAGCATTACCAAGTAGTGTAAAAGTTCACGGCCGTACTCATTAAATATATTACAAGTTATAAGTGAAATGTTTTCAGGTTTTGAGACCGTAACGGAGTCACGTTTTGCAATGTCTCGAGAGTAATTGCGGCGCTTCGCGATTAATGGGTTTAAAATGAAATCAAAGTGTAATATTAAAAACAATGAAATATAGATTTTCGACTGACGTTAAAGTAGTACCCATTAGGAATATAAGTTTATATATATTTGGTAATGATAAAAAGCTCAAATGATTTTACTTCCTTTGTTTAAATTAAACCATGTGACTATGACATTTTAAGTATAAATTATTGTCACATTGCGATTA